ATTTGAACTCCTTTTTTCTTTTCATTAAGTGACGTTTCTCTAAAGAGTCAGCATTTAGATCAAATTACATTTTTTAGCATAGTGTCTTCACAGACTATTAAAAATATGGTAGAATATGCTGATAAAGTTGGTCGTTGCAACGCATGGATTTAAAAAATTGTTTTTAAAATCCAGAAATTAAGTGAAGCTCATTTATTGCCACAAAGCAGGCTGAGTTTATAACCAAGGCAGCTGTTATAAGACAAAATGCCTGAAACATGGTTTTTGAGACATGGTTTTTCAGTTTAGCAGTTGGACAGTACCTTGCCATACAATTGTGCATAACTGAGGGAGAGTGCAAGGAGCCTCCTGCCCACGTTTTACCCTTTAGGGGCACATCACAATTACAACTCTGCACTCACCTCAGCCCAAGGACTCGGTGAGGCTACCACATCTATAGACCTCAAAGAGGCAAGCAGAATGTGCATGTCTTCCGGCTTCTATCCCATACTGCTTCTAACATGGGGCAGTGCCTATACAATGCAATCCAGTACTAGGTACTGTGCAACATAATGTGTCTTGATCTTTGTTTAAAGTGCAAAAAGTATTTTGTAAAGGAATGTTACCAGGTTAAAAATCTTCTTGAAACAAACACACTTCTAATATCTCAGATGATTAAAACTGAAAATATTTATTCTGGTTTATTTTCAGTTTTTCATTTCTCTGCCTTTGACAACAAAAATCTCAGTTTCACTTTTAGTGTCTCAGTGCTGATTGAACTGAAAACACTGCAGGGAAATGATTATTTTTGTTGCGATGGAAAATTATGGAAACTTTTTTATTGCTCTCAGGTTTTGTAAAAGCTTCTTGTCACAAGATCTCATTTAGATTCAAGTTTGACTTGACAATGTCCTTCAAATAAAATATTATGCATCCATGATCTTTCACTATTAATTCTCTACAGTGCCATATTTTGTACAATTTGGATTTTTATGGTGCTCGTTATAGTATGAGGGCCCGATCCCGCTCACCTCATACTTGCAAGCCTAGATTCAATAGTCCAAGTCTATTCAGCAAAGTATCTCAGCACAGGCTTACTCAGTACAATGACATTCCACGACTGTCACCTAGACTGAAGCCTAGAATGTCTGTACACTCAGTGTGAAGAGATGAAAACAAGTACAGGTATGGCTGAAAGCTCCTTTTGTTTATACTAGCACCAGGTTCAATCATCACTGGGATTGGCAGTCTGTTATCATTCAGTCTTGAAGTTCCCAGCCATTTTGGGCCTTTTTTTTTTTTTTTTTTAAACCCACACAGACGACTATGGATTACACTGAGGCAACAGCATGGGCTTTCAGCATGGGTTCTCATGAATGGGACTAGTTCTTCAATGGGACTTGTGCAGCATACGCATTGCTGAACTAGGACCCGTAAGTAGTATCACTGAACTCACTGATTAATTGCTTGAGTAAGGCAAGCAGGATTTATCCGTTATCCTATATGCTATAACAAATTTAAAATAAATATTGGACTCTCTCTGCAAATATTTTAGAAGGCAGGAAAGCTCTCACGTTACTCCTACTGTAGATATGGAAAATTAAGGAAACCTACCTGTGGACCTGGTATTCCTCTTCGACCTTTTGTTCCCTGACACAAGACAAGATAGTTGTTTGTTAGACATCTATTAGAGCTCAGTTATATCTCTCAATTAAATGACAAACACTAGAGAAGCTGTGGCAACTATGTCAATTTTTCCCCCAGATAATTTGATGTTCACACAATGCTTTACTACGTGCTCAAGTTACTGTACATGCTAGAACAGTGATTGAGAGCAAAGCAAATGCGAAAGTTATTATGGATGTGTCAGGATATTACTTTGCTATCACTTTTGCTTACTGCTCACACACTTCAGTCCTGCTGTGCCAAGAGAAGGACTAAAACATTCATGCCCTGTCCGTCCTGGCAAAACAGATGTGTTTATAACATTGGTTTTGGCAGTAGAGCTTAAAGACATTTCCCACCAAGCAGAGAGAAAGGTTCCCACCTCTTTAGTCTGTTCTTATTGGTAACTGTCTATGACAGAGTGCTAGGCAAGAAAGGCCGAGTCAGCACTCTGTTCACAGCAGCTCCAATCAAGCAAGGCAGAATGGAGCTGATTAAGCACAGCTGTGCCTAATTTGTGGGTGGGGAAGGGCAGAAAGGCTAATTAAGCCCTTAGGCAGAGCCAACAAATAGGTACAGAAAGGAAGTGGAAAGGGGGAAGCAAGCAGAAGAGAGATTGCACTCCCCTGCTTGTTACAAGAGCTGTATGTATTATGAAGGTGGTGGGAATCCATTTGTAAATAAACCGCACAAGGTGTTGAACCAGCACAAGGATCTCTGAGTAGTTTGTAGACAGGGATAGAGGTAGGAGCCTGGTGATCCTGCTACACTGCCACACCAGAAGAAAGAGTACGTTAATGCAAATCCTTATCTTTGCAGAATTTCTTTTTCTTTGGAAGCAGAGAGGTGAAGTCATCAGCAAGCATTGGGGGACAGAAACTGGGCAGTATTGCAGTAGGTTCCAAATTTGAAAGAAATGAGGAAGCTATTTTGTCTCTGATAGTCAGTCAGTTGTGTTGGATAGTCCTATTCAGGAGGAAAGAGTTTGCCTGGAATCAGAGGCTAATCCTACGGTTAACTTTTTCAGGGCAATCTATCAGAGATTTATTTATCTCATCTTCCTACAGTGAATGGAGGCTGACCGATCGATCAAGGTTAAATTTATGGACTCTGAGATCATTCTTTCTACCTTGGATTAATTACAAGCATTTCCTTTGCATATTTAGTCTCCTTGTCTATATGGTTCTTACTGTGGTTCTCTGAGAGCCTGGTGACCCTGGTGAGCCCATTGGTCCTCTTTCACCCTGTAAATGAGAAATTTAATTTCATGTTATCTCAATTGTCACTCAAATTCCAAACGTTTTATATTTTTCCAGATTATTAAGCCATCTAGTCATGAACAATGGATATGCAAACCAATGGGAAAAAATTCTTTTCATAACACTTGGGCACACAACATCTGCAACTGCTTACCCCTGTCAGAATTAAGAACAGAAACATAGTATTTTAATTGCACAACTTAATCTATGCAACATTGTCAAAGAAATGCCATTGTGTTACAGTACATTTTATAAAGTAGTGCCATCAAAATAATCACTGATGTTGCCCTCAAATTATATTTGTCTGGAAGGTGCTGCATGTTTGTCATTACAGTTACCATTCTGTTTTGTCTATCAACACTGATCTCCTGCATATTGTGCAGATAATCCAAGTCTTGTACTGGTGCTCCATAACTGCTCTACAGTGAAATCAATTGAAGTTCAGGGGGCATTGGCACCTTCTGGGGGGTGCTGGGCACTGTGTAGTATTGGGCCCATAAATAGTTCTAAGTACTTTCCCCGCACACATACTTTGCAAGATTTTCTGTGGAAGTTCATTAATTTACTACAAGAAATGTTTTAAAAACAATAATAATAATAAATAATAATAGGTATGCCACAGATGACAGTAGGTATGATTATTCATCATATATCCACACCTTGGTTATTTTTCATCTCTTTAAAAAAATGTAAGACCACTTCCAAAGCCGGACCGCAGAGTGCAGATTCATGGATCTCAAATCACCCATAAGGCTAGAATCAGAGAACCATAGAAATGTAGGACTGGAAGGGACTTCAGCAGATCATCAAATCCAGCCCCCTGTGCTGAGGCAGGACAAAGTAAACCTAGACCATTCATGACAAGTAACCTCCAGTGATGCGGATTCCACAACCTCCCTTGGAAGCCTATGCCAGAGCTTAACTGCCTTTACAGTTGGAAAGTTTTTCTTGAGATCCCACCTAAACCTCCCTTGCTACAGATTAAGCCCATTATTTCGTGTCCTATCTTCAGTGGACCTGGAGAACAACTGATGGTCATCATGTTAAGGGCTGTTGTAAACAGATTTGAAGACTTATCAGGTCCCTCCCTCAGTCTTCTTTTCTCAAGACTAAATATGCCCAGGTTGTTTAACCTTTCCTTGTAGGTCAGGTTTTCGGAACCTTTCATCATTTTTGTTGCCCTCATCTGGACTCCCTCCAATTCATCCATATCTTTCTACCTAGAAAGGAACAGAGTACTTGAGTTGAGGCCTCGCCAAGGCTGAGTAGAAAGGAACAATTACCTCCGGTGTCTTCCATACAAGTCTCCTGTAAATACATCCCAGAATATTAGCCTTTTTTGCAGCTGCATCATGTTATTGATTCATGTTCAATTTGTGATCCACTATAACCCCAGAACCTTTTCAGCAGTGCTACTACCTAGCTAGTTATTCCCTATTTTATAGTGGTGCATTTGACTTCTCCTTCCTAAGTGTGGTACTTTGCACTTGTCTTTATTGAATGTCATCTTGTTGATTTCTGATGTATTGTGTGGTATAAAATTAGGAACGATAGAATTGTCATACTATTTTTAACAGCCTTGGTTATCAATGGATTACTTTTAATTTGCTCTATATAGCTATATTTTAAAGGATTGTAGGTTAGTATTTGAAACAATGTTCAGTAAGCAAAGTCACATATTTCTAAATAGTTACCTGTCTTCCCTGTTCTCCTTTTGAACCTTTCGACCCTTTTATGTCATTGTCCAATCCAGGGTTACCCTAAACAAAGACACAAAGTTAAGTACATTTATTTCCCATGGGAGCTGATGGCACTTAATATCTCACAGTAGATGCTCAGCACCTTGCGGCATGGGGCCCTGAAAAAAGAATGGGAAAACGCGGCTGGAGTTAACCGTTTGTTAGGCTATTAATCTTTGTTAGACATATCAGCCTTTACACAATATTGATAAAATATTTGTAGTTTTTGTTTTTATGAAATCACAGTGTTGTGACACTTCACAGAATCTAGGATACACTGGGTAGACAAAAGGGACATTAAGAGTCATTATTCTACTCTCAGGACTAGACAGAATTCCCACTTGATTCAGTGGAAGTCCTTTGTGGGCACTGCAGCTCGAAGGGAGCATATGGCACTGAGGCTGGGTCTACACTACCCGCCTGAATCGGCGGGTAGAAATCGACCTCTCAGGGATCGATTTATCACGTCCCATTGGGACACGACAATCGATCCCCGAATCGATGCTCTTACTCCACCAGCAGAGGTGGGAGTAAGCGCCGTCGACGGGAAGCCGCAGAGGTAGATTTTGCTGCCGTCCCTACAGCGGGGTAAGTCGGCTGCGATACGTCGAATTCAGCTACGCTATTCACGTAGCTGAATTTGCATATCTTAAATCGACCCCCCCCTGTAGTGTAGATGTAGCCTTAGTCTTGGTGTTGGGGCAAACTTTAACCACAAGGGCACCCTTAAAAAAACATGAAAAAACTAAAAACTCAGTATTAGAAATGTCACAGGTGACACTGCACTCTTTGAACACACTGGAAGTACAGGGCAGCCCTGCCGCCTTCTCCTGGTGTTTTCTCCTCCTCACCAACTACAACATCTGTCCTTTTATAGTGATTTCCACAGCGATGTTGCTTGGTCAGGCCCTCATCACACCCAGGGTTGGCTCTATGTATTTTGCCGCCCCAAGCACGGTAGGCGGGCTGCCTTCGGCGGCATGCCTGCGAGAGGTCTGTCGGTCCCGTGGTTTCAGCAGCAATTCGGCGACAGGTACGCTGAAGCCGCG